AAAAAAAAAAAAAAAAAGAGTCCTGCGTGGTGGACATTCCTGTGGCCAGGCTGGCGGGGTCCTGCTTTCCCTCTGTGCCCTCACCCACCTCGTGTTCCACTGGCACCCCCAGATGGCAGCTGCAGCCAGGTCTGTCTCCAACACACAAGACTGGAGAATGTGCGTGTTTACATTTTTAAAAACGACAGCAGTAGATGATTTCGTTACTTTCTCAAAAAATCCTCCCCTCGCTGCAGACACATGCATTCCAACCCGCTTTCTGCGGCAGCTCTGGAGTCCTCTTTCCTGAGGGTCTTGAGTTGTGCTCTCCTGGCTGCCTGGGTGTCCTGAATCCATTCAAAACTTCTCCCTTCTGTGGTCATTTGGACTTTGGGGAAGAGCCAGAGTTGCACAGTGCCACAGCCAGTGAATAAAGTGGGGGGGACACATGTCCTGCTTCTAGGAACCTGCCTTTGTACTGCACAGCACGCGGCAGCCCCACTCACCGTATTTTTGCTCACACCTCCTAGAGACATTCAGAAAAGAAGATTCCAGAGCTGCTTTAGGAAGTGGCAAAGACCGTAAGTGTGTTCGAGGTGAGGGGGAGAGTTTTGGAAGGGAATTAGTAGTAATGTGGTTTTTGAGACAGGGTATTGTTGATCTATAATTCAGGCTGGCCTCGAACTCACAGTAACCCTCCTGCCCCATCCTCCAAGTGCTGGGATTACAGGTGTGCACCATCACACCTAGCTTGTAATAATTTTTAGAAGATTCACCATGTATTTCGACCACACTTCTTATTATTTGTCTCATCCCGTGTTCTGGAGGTACGCTGGGATGTCTCACTCTGATTCAAGTCTAGCACTTCAAACGGCCATCACTGGATTTATTATCTTCCCCCCAAATCAGCTGCTCTCCTCGCTGTACTCCCTAATATCCCCTTTCCTCTCCCAACACAGAATGCAGGAGCAGACCCCACCGACTGTGCCCTGCATTTCTCTTGACCTGCCTTCTTCACTTTAACCTGGCCTGGGGGACCTCAGTGAGACCTTCTGGCCCACTTCTTGCCTGACCCCACGCAACGCCACGCCCACCTGAAGCTCCACCCAGTTCCCACAATGCCCCTCTCTCTCCCAAGGAGCCTGCCAGACAAACGTCAGGCTCAGCCTCGAGAGGCCAACCTTCCTTCAGCACTCTTAGGGAGCTTTCTCAAGCCACTGGCCCTGATCTGAACACACGGACGCCCATGTCCCTTCCCTGGCTCCACGGTGCCTTCCCTGCCACCCTGGATTGCGCAGCTAGTGATGCCACCTGGCTTTTCCCTACTCAGCTGACCTTTCCAGAGGCCATGGGAATAGGCCTGTGTGTCACTTCCTTGCCTGTCACTGGGTTCTAAGATGCTGCCAAACTCACAGACCTCCTCGATAAAGGCTTTTTTTTTTGTATTTTAGGGAAGGGTCTACAGGGTGTCCAGGGTCTTACTACTAGATTGGACTTGAAATGATCCACCTGTTTACAGCCTCCCAAGAGCTGGGATTACCGGTGCGTGCCATCACACCCAGTCTCAGTGTGCCCTGGGGGTGGGGCCAGCATGGCAGGCTCAGAGATCGAATCCTCGGCCCCTGCGCCTGCTTGCAGGCCCTTTAATCCACTGAGCTATTTGGCCAGTCTTCGACAAAGATTTGCTAAATGAAGAAATATAAAACTAATAAAAAATGATAATGACCCTTGCTGGGTGTGGTGGTACACATCTATAATCCCAGCACTTGGGAGGCTGAGGCAGGAGGATCACCTTGAGTTTGAAGCCAGGCCAGGCTACATAACGGAATGAAAGAAAGGGAGAGTCCTTTTTGGGATGTGATAGCCAAAGGTTAGTAGCAGACCGTGTGCTGTGGGATACACTTTAATTAAAACAAAACAAAACTACATAAAATATCTGTGCTTGCCTTGCATGGGTAAGGCCCTGAGCTGGGACCCCAGAGACCAGAAAGGCAGAAACCAAGAAGAAAACCTGTGTGCGCGGCACCTTCGTGCAAATGTTAAGTTAGCTACCTAACTAGTTTAACCAAGAATCTATGGCCATGAACTAGTTCTCTGTGCACGAATACAAGTGGTTCCAGCACCACTAGGCAAGGCAGGAGCTATTATTTTATACAAATTGCCAAGCAGTGGTGTTGTTTATCTGCAAGAACTATAAACTGGTGCGTTTCCCAACGACCGCAGTCTGCTAGCAGGTGTGCTGAGCACCTGCCACCAGGCGAGCTGACCCGAGAGGCGCTGCCGAGTGCCACAGCGCACGTGCGCAGACTGCCGCTGCCTGCCCCGACGCAGCAGCCAGAGCCTTGCGCGCTGCCGTCCCAGAGGGGCCAGTGCTGGCGGACCGCAGCAGGCCAAGGTTCCCCAGCACTCCTTCACTCCAGTGCAAAAAGACACTGCGAGAACACGAAGAGCATTTGGGGACAGAAAGAAAGGTTTGACTTCTGATGAGAGAATACAGACCCTGGAATCCAGGAGCTGTAAAGAAAAGACATTTGTTCGACCTTACCTTGAAGGGGTGCCCTGGCAAGGCGTATTCAGATGCTGAGAGAATATACACAGTATTTATCTGTAGAACCTTAGGACTCTTACTATTCAAGGCTAAGGCCAGCCTCGAACTCCAGTATACTAATTTTAGGCATAGT